GAAGAAGATGACGAAGAAGAGGGAGGAGAAGAAGAAGATGACGAAGAAGAGGGAGGAGAAGAAGAAGATGACGAAGAAGAGGGAGGAGAAGAAGATGATGACGAAGAAGAGGGAGGAGAAGAAGAAGATGACGAAGAAGAGGGAGGAGAAGAAGAAGATGACGAAGAAGAGGGAGGAGAAGAAGAAGATGACAAAGACAACAAGGGAGGAGAAGAAGATGACGAAGACGACGAGGGAGGAGAAGAAGATGACAAAGACGACGAGGGAGGAGAAGAAGAAGAAGATGACGACGACGACAACGACGAAGAGGAAGAAGAAGAAGAAGACGACGAAGAAGACGAAGAAGGAGAAGAGGAAGAGGAGGAAGAGGAGGAAGCAGAGGACGGCTATGGCTAACGGGCGAGGAGAGTGACCACGGAGAAGAAGAAGAAGAAGAAGAAGAAGAAGAAACAAACCTAGGGGAGTGATGGAGTGGCTTGTCGGCGGGGGGTGCGATGGCACGGCTGGCTGGCGGAGGCGACAATGGCGACGATGCACCCTGCGGAGACCTACCTACGATGGCGCGGCTGGCTGGCGGTGGCAACGATGGCGCGGCTGGCTGTCCGAGGCGATGAGCGGAGTTGAACGCGCGATGCGTTTTCCCCCGCTGCGAAAATTCGGTTTCCTGCCATAAGTGATTCAAAACAGTCCGCTGATCTGCAACGATCGGCGGCCAAGATTGGCGGCTTTTTGAACTTCGAAAAATGGGGCCTGCAGGACCCGGTTTCCTAATTGCGGGGCAGGGCCCGCCCCCACGAGGCCTCCACAACACAATCGCGCCTCCCAAAAAAAAATTTCCAGCCCCAGCGAAAATGTGCTGGGGGCGAGCGGGAGGGAACCGGCCCGGGCCACCGGCCGGTCCAACCGGGAGGACCGCAGATGGGGTAGGGGTCCCTGGTCCATCCGGGGACCAGCCCTGCTCTGAAGTGCCTAAAGGCAATTAACTTAACTTCAGCATTGGAAAAGTAAGCACTTGAGGGCTGGCTAGCTCATCCACAGATTTGACTGATATTTTAGGGTCAGGAATCAGGATAGATGTGGTTCTACCATCCGGACAAGGCTGGGTAAAGAGTTTGACAATGGCTTTCAGTTGGCAGACAGACACAATCAGGCCCTTCTTCCAAATCCCACTGCAGACGAATGTATCACCCTGTTACCTTACTCACAAATTCCTTTCACAACCCAAAAAATTTTCAACCCATAGTGTGACTCGCATACATCTTACACAGACTGACTGCGCACTTACCAAGCTCTCAACAAGGCTGACCAGTCTTTTGTACACTTTCTCCAGGCCATCCTTCAGATCGAACTCCTTTTGAACCGAACCTTGCTTCCAGGCTTTCTTCAGGTCTTCGTGCACCCACCATACCACCCTAAAAACAAACAAACGAAATACCTGTCAGCCTCCTACGGAACGACCAGCGCAGGTACCTGGTTTTCACTTCGCAATTGCAGCTAGATGACAGAGATGAGCACCGGGTACCCAGACGCGCACCCACCTGCACACACCCCACCCACGAGGACATTGGGTCAGGTGCAAGTCTTGATCAGGTGACCTGGGTGGGATGAGGGCGGGTCAACGCCAGGTAGCCTGGGTGGGTGACAGGTGGGTGAGTGCTAGGCCTGGCTCACCCAACACACAGACCCAGGACAACCCATAAGGACCCCCCACCCCTTCCCCCCCCACCGCCCCCAATCCATGCACGAAACGTCAAGTCTCCGCCGTCGGCGTGCGTGAAAAAAAAAAAAAGAAGTTGGGGTCCTGAAAATAAAAAAGCAGGGACCTTCTTTCAAAATTTTCGCACTCTGCTCTTGGCGGCTGCACCACGGCCCACGTTTGGACGAGTTACCGCATTCAAACGGGATGCTGATTTTTGTTCCCATTAAAACAACAGGGACCGAACCTAACCACAACAGGCGGCAACGTTCGGTCCCCACTTTCGAAGTTCTGGAGCACATTGAATTTTGGCGCCGTCATCCAGCGACGCCACAACTTGTGCATGGTCCAGCAGCAGGGAGGAGGTGGCGGGGTGGCGAGGAGGGGGGCAACGCACCAGCGGCCTGGAGAACAACAGCGCGGCTGCAGCCACGCACAGACGGCCTGGGGAGCCACGCACAGACGGCCAGGGGAGCCACGCACCGACGGCCTGGGGAGCAACATTGCTGCTGCGAGTGAGCAGCAGTCGAGCAGTGGGGCCGGCATCAACGAGGTAAATCTCTCTCTCTCTCTCTCTCTCTCTCTCTCTCTCTCACACACACACACACACACACACACACACACACACACACACACACACACACACACACNCACACACACACACACACACACACACACACACACACACACACACACACACACACACACACACGGACAAAAAAACAAAAAAATCGAAAGAAAAGAAAAAGAAAGTGCAATAGGAACCCAATTGATGCTCCCCAGAATGGACATGGCAGCAGGACCCAGGTCCAAAAGGACCTGTTTTTCAAAACAAAAAAAAAGCAATGAAAACATCGCCCCATGTTCCACAGTTGTGTGCCCCCCAACCCTCCCCCCTTGCCCGTTCCCTCCTCTCTCTCTCTCTCTCTCTCTCTCTCTCTCTCTCTCTCTCTCTCTCAGGGCATACTCACACGGCGAACCCAAAGCCGCAAAATATGCGGATTTGGGAAGGGCCGATTTGAGGTTTTGGGCATGGTTCCCGTCACACTGCTGTACCTTTTCAGATGGGACAAGGTCGCGGCCGTCTCGAGAAATGGGGATTTGGTACTTGGCTGGTCACACGATGCCATCCACCAATTGTGCAAGAACTTTTGTGAACGAATTTTTGCCAATTTTTAAAGAAAATGCAAAAAAAAAAAAAGGGAATTTGTGGTCACCTCCAGAGGTGACCGCAAAATACCTTGCCCAGCAGCTTCCCAGGCCGCTGACAAATGGGCACTGCAATAGTACATTCGCCAATTTGGTAGATTCGTGTGACCAGCCTTTTCCCCTTTTTTTTAGGATTTTGGGATTATAGGTCCCCGTGTGAGTATGCCCTCACACACACACACACACACACACACACACACACACACACACACACACAAAAGACAAACAAACAGAAAAGGAAGAAAACAAACAAAAGAAATAGCGCCGCGTGGTACAGCCACGTGCGGCAAATCCTGTCAGCCCCCTTCCCCCCCTTTCCCAAGCCCCCACTCCATCCATCTCTGTCTCTCTCTCACACGCACAAAAAAAAAGACGAAAAAAAGAAAGAAGGAAACACTTGGAATCGCGGCCACGTGGCGCTGCCACGTTGTGATATCGCACGCCTTAGCTCTTCCCCCGCTGTCCTTGGACACACTCCAACTTCCTCCGAAACCTCTCCCCTTCCCCCTTCCACACCCCCCCACTCACTCTCTCACAGACGAAGAAAAAGAAAAACGAAAAAAAAAAGACGATCGGGCCATGTCTCTGCACCACGTGCAGTGCCTTTTAACCCCCTCCCCACGTGGTTGCACCTTGTGTTTCTTTACCCACTCCATTCACTCGGTGCACCCGTCCTCCTTTCCCCGAATCCCATCTCCCACGAATGCTGCACTTGTCCTCCGCCCCAATCTCAAACCCCCAACAACTGCCGCACCCATCTTGCTTTTCCCTAGTCCTTACTCCCCCCCGTCCTCCGTCCTCACCTCTGTCCCATGATGTGGGCCTTCTGTCAAGAGAACGGCCCATATCCCTGGCTCATCTGGGGAACGACCCAAGAAAGTCGCCACCTAAACCCTAAACCCTAAACCCTAAACCTGTCACTGCCTGTGGTCTCCTGTCACTAGTCATCACAGCAGCCCACCGATCAGCACCATCCATGTTGGTCCACCTTCTGCACTGTTCACTTGAACACAGGCAATATGAAAAATTGGTGATCGGCCCATGATGTGGGCCTTCTGTCATGAGAACAGAGCAAATCCCTGGCTCATCTGGGGAACAACGACCCAAGAAAGTCGCTACCCGTTCCCAACTGTCACTGCCTGTGGTCTCCTGTCACTAGTCATCACCGCCGCCCATCACAGCAAGCCTCCAATTCTTGTCACCACCCGTCACTGCCTGTCACCTTCACCCCTTGCCGCTGCCCGTTGCTAGCGACCATCCATGCTGCGGTGGCTGCCGCCTGTCCGGCCACCCATTGGCACTCATCCAGACCAACCTCCTGCTCCCTGCTTCTGCCCAACCCCCTCCTCCTTCCCTCTGCCTGACCTCCACCTCCCTGCCTCCAACCTCCTGCTCCCTTCCTTTGCCCAACCTCCTCCACCTTACCTACTGCTCCCTCCCTCTGCCCACACTCATTTTACCTCCACTCGCCCAACCTCCTAAGCTGCTCGCGCATACCGGCATGTGGTACTGTTTAGGTATTTTGGGACATTGCACAGGCTCCCACAATGCTCTCACATACTGGAAGGCCCTTGTGTTGAATGTCCCTGCGATAAACCTTGCCATGAGTGGCACACATTCACAGAAGTTTGGACATGTCAAGTTGCAGCAGAACAGGGGGAACTACAGATATGATAGACTGGTTTGCGATGGGTGTGGCGGAGGAAGTAAGATTTCTCACCATCGATCAAGCTCATCAACAAGAAGTTGGTTGAACATATACATGATTGAGGCATAAACTTCAATCACCGTCAACCTCATTTCTCGCACTTTGCATATTTGATTCCAAATATCAGTTGCATTACTCCTCGTTTTGGCCGCAATATCCATTGCCAGAAACACCTGTGTGAAGAAAAAAGGAGACAAAGGATGAACCTATCAGAATGGGAGTGGGTCCATGAAGAATGAAACCAGAACTTCTACAAGCATACTTTATAACCAGAACTCTCGTCTCCCCTGCCCAGTACTTCACTGGCAGTAGTCAGCTCAGTGCTTAGTGACGTAGGTGG